AGGAAAGGATGCAGGACAGGTAGCGCTGAGCACCTGCAGGGCAAGGACCACGCCCAGGACCCCTCGGCCCAGGAGGTTGGGCTCAGGCACCACCAGACTGCATCCTCTGCCCTCACCTGTTCCAAGGACAAGAACTCCACATCCAGCCCCTTTTCAGCTGTGAAGGTGTCTGTCAGGGAACGCGGGGACCCTTCACGAGGCTGGGGCAACACATTCTGCACCGCTGCAATCTGGTGCCCCCATTCGTCGCCAGGAGTCCTGCTGGAGAGGCGGCCCCTCTGCTACACCCCACAGTGAAAAGATGGGCCACCAAGAAAGGTGGCAGGAGGCAGAAGATGGGCAGGGCAGGAAGTGAGCCCCCAGAGACCTGAAATGGAGATGGAGACAGAGGGACCTGGGGAGGTTGGAGGCTCAGAGAGAGAAGGGGGCAGAGGCCAGAAGACAGCAAAGAGGCAGTGTAGCCAGGAGGCTGTGAGCAGAGGGAAGCCCTGAGATAATGGGGGGCTGAGGCAGAGATGGGGTCCCTGAGGCACAGAGATGAGCCCCTGCAAGATGGGGACTGAGGCACAGAGATGGGCCCCCTGAAAGATGGGGACTGAGGCACAGAGATAAGCCCCATGAAAGATGGGGGCTGAGGCACAGGGATGGGTCCCCTGAAAGATGGGGGCTGAGGCACAGGGATGGGTCCCTGAGCATAGTGGAGGCACATGAGTAAGGGGAGATGGGGGCCCGGAGACTGAGGAGCTGAAATGGGAGTTGGGGGAGCAAGGTATGGGGCAGCGCGGGGTTCCAGCCACAAGCAAAGAGAGGCTAGGGGCAAGAGGCAGAGCCCAAGTGGAGCCGCGCTCTGGTTGTGCCCAGCTGGGTTCCAGACTGCTGTGGTGTGAGGGCCAGGTGCTCCGACCGGTGGGTGGCAGTGATGCCGGCACCCCAGCCTGGGCTGATGGGCCAGGAGGCTCACTTTTTGCTTCTGAACGTACCCAGGATTTTGGGCATGAACTTCCCCACCTTGCTATCCCTGGTGTCCTCCTCTGCTGGGCCTTCCCCGCCCCCGGGGTCGCTGGCCTCCTCCTTTTTGCAGAAGACCTCAAAGCGGCTGTAGACGCGCTTCTCCTTGCGCATGCTCTCCATGCGGCGCAGCAGGCGGTCGCGCTCCTCCGCGCTGGCTGGCAGTGTGCTGCTCAGACGGCCTTGTGTCCCCAGACTGTCCGAGCGGAAGATGGCCGAGCATTTGTCCTTGTCGGACATATCAGGGGCCAGGCCGCCCGCAGCCGGTGGGCGGCCTAGCTCAGGGCTGCTGTGGACTGGAGTCAGGGTGGAGACTCCGCGGTGCTTCTGGCCGTGGGCACTGATCTGCTCCAGAATGGCTTTGGTGTCATCCCGCAGGTTGCTGCTGTACAAGGCATTGGCTGTGGCCGAGGCCGTGCGTGCCCGCGGGCCCCGCTCATCTCCTGTGGCAGCTTCCATGCTGTTACCCCGGCTCAGCGACGGCCGCTGCCGAGGGCTTTCAGGCTGCCCGTTCTCCTGCGGCTCTGGGAAGCCGCCCTCATCCTCGCCGCGCCGCTCACCCTTGGGGCTCAGCAGCTGCCGGAGGCGGAGGGAGCCCTTGCGCAGGACCTCCATGGCGCCGCCAGCCGTCTCCTCCGCAGAACCAGTCTTCGGAGACTCTCCAGAAAAGGCAAGGGTGAGGCTACCCCTGCGCTCCGGTACAGGGGGCACCGGGCTGCCCCTGCGCTCTGGCACGGGGGGTACCGGGCTGCCCCTGCGCTCAGGGTAGGCGGAGGTGGGGCTCCCCTTCTGCTCAGTAAATCCTGCAGTTGGGCTGCCTCGGGGAGC